GCAGCGAGAGTGTCACGACCAGAAAGGATTTAAAGGGGGTTAAGGTTCGGGGAGAGTTATTTCTCCCTCTCCCTTCAATTCTCTCATTCCCCAAAGCCCTTTTCCACCGATTAATTGCCTCCAAAGCTGTTCAGGAGCAAGATTGGAACTCAGATTTGTGTGGGGAACGCTTGGAGGTGAGTTTTATATGGTTAGGGTTTTTGTTTTCCTTCCCTTTCTCTGTTCTTGGTGACTCTCGGGGTTCTCATGGAATTCTTTCATGTGTTTAGGCCGAAAACCGTGTGGAGAGCAGTTCCGTGGTTGAGTTCGGACATGTGTCTTCAATCCAAGGTAAGGAGGGACTCTACCCTACTCTTTTATGTGTGATTTGCTACTATTTTGTGTGATATTGTGATGTGGTTGAGTAGAGGGTAGGAAATTGCTGAGATATGTGGTGTGGGCACTTGTGTCGTTTATACATGTGTGTATATCTGAATGTATATTGTGAAAATGTGGACTCGAGGACCGTGTAATATAAATGGAAATAGGCTAAGGGCCGTGTGTCTTGAATGAATTGTGGGCTATGTGCTGTGTGTGCTGTGAAAATGAAATGTGGGCCTAGTGTCATAACTATTAAATGTGGGCTATGTGCCGTATACTGAAATGTGTGTGACTGGGGCGTGTAACGCCATTGTAATGTGCTGTGAATGGTTCAGCGATACACTGAGGGTGTGGAAGATGAGGACGGTAGAAATACCTTGGGGAAGAGGGAGTGGTGGTGACACCGACTATGGAACGGGTGCACCACAGGCCACACACTCTCTTCCTAACTAGACCTCTGACCATTACCTTTGTTGAGCGACCTGTGACTACCCACGTGGTATCTATGAGGCGGGGGTAATCGGAGACCATTCATGGTATAAATTTGTGATCACAATGTCAATGTGAGTGTGGTTAGCGTGCGTATGCATGGTTTAATGAATTGTACTTATGGATGTGATAATGTTGCATGTACTTGTATTTGTTTAATGTATTGGAAATATGCTGAAGGTGAGACTTTATGCTTAATTGTATGTTTTGATAGTGTAGAGTACTCACCCTTACATTCATTTTTCAAGTAATCAAGACGATCAGCACCGGACTCAGTGAAAGGGACAGATGAAACTGCTATAGGATTAGGATTTTAATTTGAAACTAATGTAGTTGAATGGGTCCGGTAGTAGTGACTTGATAGAGATTGTAACCCTTTTCCTTATTTTAAAAAATTTGATGAAATTTGGATTAAAAATAGAAGTTTTATTATTTAAAAAATTTGTGAAATTCTTTATTTATTTAAAAATTAAATTTAAGGTGTTACAAATAATCTAGAAAAGATTTTACAAATTGCATCCCTACAATTCAAATAATAATAATAGAAAAACACAAAAACATTCTAACATGCATATGGTGGCTCTAATTATCTATAGTCATCACATCCTCATACAAGGATTTATCAGAAAATTTAGTTTTACGAATTACAACATAAAAACATCTATAGTTAGATTAGAATCTAGAGGTTTGTCAATAGGTTCATTTTATGTACTAACTTGGAAATGTCATTCACTCTCTAGTTTAGCCCAAGTAAATCTTGTTTAGAAATATTATCTCTACCCTTCTTATTTAATTCATTTTGAAACGTACTCATGATATTTAATAACTACTTATCATTTTGTTTATTTATAATGTAATTCTTTTTTATCATAAATATCTTTAGATAAAACAAATTAAGTGGTAACATTATTATTATTATTATTATTATTTAGTTTTATTTTAGATTTAGATATCTCTTTAGACTGGTTCCCATTTTAGAGCCTATAAGATTTTTAACCATAGGTTTATGCATAATCTTAGGATCCTCTATTTCCCTCATTGTTCATTATTGTTGAGGCTATTGATAGAACTGAACAACACAACTACATGTGGAGGTAGGTTCAATTTCAAGATCACAAAGGATGCTAAATTTAGACCTTGAGGGAGAATCTTTTCCTTTACCATTATAACAATTTTTTTTTAAAGTTTTAAATTGTCTTAAAATTATTTTAGGAGACCTTTTGACCAACATTCAAGAGGCAAAACTTCCTGTTCAGACTTACAAGAACATTCATTATTACTTGTTTGAGCTTGTTCTCTAACTAAAACATTCTAGGAAGCAAATCTACTATCTATATTTGAAACAGACTAAGATAAATTAGCCATTAATTTTGTTATTCTAACTCTTATCACTCAATATCATACAATTTTCTTGTCTATGCTCATTTTTCTCACATGTAAAATGTAACACCCTTATTTTGTTATTTATTAATTTTGTATTTTCTGTGAATTGTTAATGCTTGTTACTCAAAATTATGAGAGTTTTATATGTGTGTAAGTTGTAGGATTTCTCATTGTAGCGAGAAATGAGTGTCCAAAATCAGAGTCTTTGACACTCTCTCGCTATAGCAAGAATGACAAACAACAAAGTGCAATTTTGTCTGATTTTTTTACTGCAGCGAAAGAAGGTCTTGCTGTAGCGAGAATGTCGCGAGTTGAGGGGTATTTAAGGGTTTCTAAGTTAAGAAACTTAGACTATAATCCAAGTTATGACCCTTCTTTATTCTTTCTGACATCTGTCCTCATTTCCTCAGAAAACCCTTGAAAAATCTCAACCTCTCTCTGATCAAAGCTTGGGAGTTCACTTTCCTTACTCTTTTGTAAGTTTTTGAAGCTTGATTTTCATTCCTTTGGTTATTCTCTTTTTTTTTCCTCCCCGAAATAGGATCTCTTGTGATATTTAGGAAGAACTCGACGTTTTGTGCAAGATCTCTCACAAACCCTTCACTAAACTTCCATTTCAAGGTAAGGAGAGCTCTATCTTGTTAGTAAGAAAGTGGTATGTTTGTGTTCATGAAAATGTTGTGATGAAACGCATGATTTTGAGTATATGTTGGATGAGAACATATTTTTGTTATGTTTGAAGCATGATATTGAATGATGTGTATGACCCTTGTTTCAAGTGTATGCATGTATGTTATGAACTGAGTTCGAGGGTGGCCAACCTTCGGCAATGATTGATTGATGTATGATGTAATAAGAAATTAGAGCAAAATAGAGAGATAAAAGGATGAATAATATGTGAGCAGAAAATAACGAGTTTGGGGTATAATGATTAATGAGAAGAGTAAAGTTCATAAAGAGAAATGGAATGAGAAAGAAAAAATGATATGGACAAGTATGGATAGTTCAGAGGTACACTAGGAGTGTGGAAGATGGAGGTGATTGAGAAATCTTGGGGAAATGAGGGTGATAGATGCTCTTCTTGAATTGCACATAACAAATGAGAGTAAGAGCATCACAAGCCTCATACTTGTTTCCTGACTTAAACTCCTAACCATGCTTTTGCTAAAAGGGTCAGGTTGGCACACTTTGCATCCATGTAGTTGTGGCTATCCAACAATTATCTATGCTAAGGAAGACCTCAAGGGATCCCAAAGGCAATGAAAGTATGAAATGAGAATTCTGAGTGTTAATGGATAGAAAATGTAAGAAGCTAAATAATTAATGATCTAGTTGCATGATGGTTTGTTGTATTTCTTTATTTGAACTGTTGACTTAATTGTGAATGCATGATTAGTAATAAAAATAAAGACTCATTCTTACATAAATCTTTCAGGAGACCAAGATGAAAGTATCCAGAGATAGCATTAGACTCATAGATAGTTTTGTACAGTGTAGGTTAAACTATGTATTTAACGAGTACCATAGATTTTGCTATTTTAAGTTAGCCTTACATGTTGACAATGTACTTCATAACTGTATTATGCTAGAAATAGAACTATCCTATAGTGTACCTTTAGATTTTCCTGAAACAATAGAATCCACCATACCCTGTGTATGTACCTTTATCATGGCACAGATAGAAGCCTAACAGCTGTGACCTACCTGTTCACATATCATGATCACGACTACCTCAGAAGACCGTCTCGATGGACTTTTGAGCGAATTACTGGCAAGTAGGGCACTGTGGACTCAGGCAATCGATATTTTGGATCGAATGATGATCTCGATTCTGACGACATTAAGGCGATAAAGAATTGACATAGGGATAACTAGTATCTTTATCAGTCTTTTTGGTGGATAGACTGCTCATTAGGACTTGTTACATTTTGCATTTTATAAATATTGTAAATGAGTCCTAATGTATTTTGATGTATATTTTGTAAATGTCAACATCTTGTACCTTATAAGAATAATGTATATTAATGTTATTTTGATGTTTCCTCTTAAAATTGGTTTAATTCTCATTACTTTGTCATTTAAGTTTTTATAATTGAGTAAAATAAATAGAACATTTTATAATTCCATTTGTTATATTCAGCTGGAAAATAGATTTAACTAAATTTTTTTTTAATTCTGAACTTATTTTCTTATTGTTTTGAATAAAATAAGGATGTTACATAAAACAAATATATAGTCCTTCATATTTAACTTTAAACTCATGACCATTGCTTTAAACAAAAGATTAACTTTTTTTCTCAAATCAAGTTCAACATAAATCCTAGCCAACTTTCCTCTTAAGGAAAGAGAATATGGAGATTTATTTTTAACATTGAACCTAAGCAAACCTCAACCTAAAAGAAAATTTTTCATTATACATCTCTAATGGGAAGTTTGGAATACAAACTTAAGACAACTATTTTTCTAAGACTCCGATCATTAGTTTTAAACAATGATCTCTATCTTTAAACTAATAGGAAATAGTTAATAATCAACCAAGGACCCTCAAATAGAACAAATTTATAATCCTTCATGATATTAAATTTGACTAGAAAAAAATTATTATTCAAATTCAAAATTTTAAGATTTCAATTTCTTCTCTAAATCTTATTTAGTTTTAGATATTAATAATTAAAACTCACTGATTTATCTAACAATTTAACCATCAGGGTATATTTCCATGAAGAATGTTAATTTTCATAATCCTCTAAAGAGATATTTAACTCAAGCCATAAACAATTGACCTATATTATTAATTTCTTCAAATCCATTAGCCTCGTAGGGGATATTTAACTCTTCCATTACAGATTGAGTAATATCATTATGTCCTAAGACTAGATCTATGTCTTGGGAAGCAAGAACTTTATCTTTATACAAGATAGATTTATATCTATACAGCTTAGAAGTCATTTGATTAGTAGCACGTGCACAAGGAGGGTCTTCTTGCATGATTGACGACAAACCATCCTCAGTTCAAGACCCACCTTCAACTTCTTACTTCGTGACTTGAGATCCTCGATGTCTTCTCCTCTTCGCTTTGGCCCATTTTCCTCAACTACAGTCAAGAACTCCCACGTTTCAAAGATTGAAACCCACTAGGAGAAACAGAAAAGCTGCTTGAGGCGCAATGGTGCAACACGAGCTGAGCCCCACAAAAATAGTAAAAATATATTCAAATAGTTCAATTTTCGTAGCAATGAAACTGATAAACCAATCTGAATCAAAGCAAATTCAAATTCTGCAATAGAACTGTTTTATTCATCATGCAATACCCATAACAGTCCTTTAATTATCTTTTTAGCACCAAACTCAAGAGTTTCAAGCTTAGCAGTGGGCTATTTCGGGAAAAAATTTAAATTTGAGACATGGGAGAAGAGAAAGGAAAGTTATTTGAAGATTAAAAAAGGAGGAAAAAAAAAACCCTTAAAATTGAAGAAACAAAAAAATTGCAAGAACATAAAGTTTTGAAAAGAATCGAAATCCTCCCTCCCAACTCCTTTCTCTTACTTTTAAAAAATAAGAAAAATCTTTTAAAAGCTTACTCTATCTCTAGCAAAGCCTAAAGCATTTGATACCATAATATCCTTCTATTAGTGCTACCATATCTGATATTATTTATTTTGCGTTTATGTTAAATTATAATACAACATTTATTTCTTTCGAAATCTGACAATAACCATATTTTTAAGGAGTGAACAAGTTACCGGCTGATAAGTCATTATCTATCAGAGATGCAATGAAAAGCAACGTTACCAATATTCCCTAATCATAAAGGGCTTTAAAAGTGTATAAAAGCATATATTTACTTAAAGAATATTTTTAAGGACCTCTTGATTCATTTTCAGTTTGTGTAACCCTATCTACGTAACAGCAGTTGAAAATAAGCAAAGTTGATTGTAACTGCAGTCGTTACTTTGAAAAGGCTTACCTACCTATGTGGTCTCAGCTGTCTAATCCTAGCAAAGTTCCAATATTTCAAGGGCCATACTCCAGTACATTCCGTATGAACTAAAAAGGCAGAATGAGCTCATTATTCTTCTGTGCAAAAATTTACATTTTACAATATCGAATTTACAATGCAATTTGCCGAAAGGGGGGACGGGGTATGGGAATTTGGCAGTACAATGGAGAACTCAACAGAAATTTATTTACAGTACCATCATGTGGGAGTTAACTATATGAACTTCACACTTTTAGTGTAGATGGTTAGAAGGTGGACACTCCAAATGTTCTCAAGTTATTTGTATAACCCGAGTGATCATCAACACATTTCCTGTTTCCAATCTTTAATGAATTTGGATTCGGTATATGGAATGGCAACTGATCAGATTCAGCCAAAAATGATGGCATCTAATTGCAGCATCATAGTTTCAAGATCAACGACTCACAAGCCAACCCGGTTTAATTAGGATATCTTCCTTAAAATTGCGGCCTGAGACAGACACTGACTCACCTTGACGGCGATAACACTGCAAGGGATTAGGAGAGCATGTAAGAAAATTCAATTCTTACAATGATCTAAACCATGAACCGTAGATAAAATAATTTTAGTCAATGAAAAATATTAATCAATATAGTCTATCTAGAAGGGAAGACAAATTATCCCAAGACCATCATAATTGGACAGAATAATAAATTTCATTTTATGAAAACCTAGTATCCATGCACCCGTGTGCTTAAGCACGTACAAAGAAGAGTTACTACGTAGTAACGACACTTGAAGAGCAGCCATTAATAAAACAATGAATTTATAACAATTTTCATGCCAGATTGTAATCCTAATACGATTAATAGAAAAGATTGAGATTATAAAAATTACTTCAAGCATTAAATTGATAAATTCAAAAATAAGAAATAAGTTTTGCAACTATATTATTTTCTGTTGCATACGATTATAGAAATGCAGATCAAGAAGTATTATTTGGCAACAGCCTAACAGCAAAACTATGCATCAACTGAGAGGAGAGCTCAAGCACTAACCTTGTAGCATACAACAGTGTCATCAGGATACATAGCAAAGAGCTTTGTACCAAGGCGTGCATTGCAGGAATCACAGAGACTCTCATCATTAATTTGCACATTCCTTGACCTTTCCTCCAATCTTGACAATCTTGCATCAATGTCTACGGCACGAGATAAACTATGCACAATCTGAACAAACTTATGTTATTAACAATACCAGCCCACAATCAACATAGAAATGTCAGCTACAGAGCACAAAGGAAAAATAATATTGGGAAGATTGCATATAGGAATTATTGGTAAAATTAGTTCATGTTCAGGAATAACTACAACCTTGGCAGTTAAAAATCCACATAAACTACTTTCGCTCTCCTGTTTTCTTTCCTCCAGTTAAGAAACTCTAGCAATCCTCTCAACCGTCTTCTACCTTCCCACCAAGGGGGAGTATCCAAAAAGGTGGGTTTTCTACCCATTATAGATGGGTTCTCTCCTCTCCTTAGTGAGAGTTTTTTCTTTTCCTTCACTCCTTCCTCCATCTCCTATTCCATCTCCCTCTCTTCCTTTCTACAGCCATCATCCCATTCTTCATCCACACTGTTATTTGTCAGCTTTTTTTTCCATACACCTTCCTCAAGCCCTGCTGGCCGACCGTCATATGCTATGACTAAAACTGCCCCTTGAGTTTTTTATGGCCTTCTCCACTGCACAGAACTTTGCAGTAAAAAGGGGAAAAAAAAAAAAGAGGTAGTGAAGAAAAAAGAAAGAAAAGGGGAAATATTTGCTCAACAACCAGCAGCTTTATTCCAGAGACAGGACTGGCCACAAATAGAGCCTATAACATTCCTAGTGAAATCTACGTAGCCCTGCGACTATCTCAATGCAATTTAAATGAAAGAAACCATTCCTAAAATTCTGCACGTCAATTATACATAAGATGAAAGTAGAGCTTATTAAGGTTTGAGCAATCTTCGCCTCATAAACTAGCTGTTAGGATTGAGTTAGGCCTAAACCCAATTCAAAAAGGATAATCCACTATTCCTGATAGCAACCACTGCACTCTGATTTGAGTTTTTTATTTCATTATTTATTTATTTATTGTCATGTAAGGACTTCATCAAGGGATTGAAGGGAAAAACATGGACGTACTACCTGTCCTTGACGATGATGATGAACTCTGGCCCTGAACATTCTTAGTAAAGTCTCAGAAGCAAGTTGAAGTGGCATATCTGGAGATAGTTTCTGCATTATAAAGTCAAAAATTTTAGCAAGTAAGATGTCAAAATTAAGAACTGCAATTCAGTCAAAAGTATTCACTATAGTTAAAGAAAAGAAAGTGATAATCAGCAAGTGATTAAATAGTGTGTCCTTAAATTCCAAAAAAGATACATGTAATACTGATAATTATACTCATGATCAGTCATCAGGGTTTATGGTGTATCTAATATTGCTGAATTAATGTGCTCTCAAGTATTTTAAATTTTCTTATCTTATGGCTAACTTGTGTTAATCTTTTGATAACGAGAAGACGCACATGACGGCGTGTGGAGCCTCTATATGGCATGAAATTACGGGGAAGGCTGAACTGAGCAGGGCAAACTCAGTGTTCACTGGAAAATGCACCAGAAAAATCACCAAAACAGTAGCAAGTGGCAGTTAAGTGTCCAAATGAGGGGGAATCTGAAAACTCAATGTGGAGCACAGTTTTCAGGGGAAAAAAATTGCACCACCAAGCAATGGGCCCATGCCATAACTGAAGCTTCAACTTGCTTCCATGCAACATTTACTGGAATTTGGCTAGATAAACTCTTCCACACACAAATCCTCTTTTTAAGGATCATCTCCACCCACCTTGACCAGCTAATCAGATGACAGCCAGCCTTTGCCATCTTAGCTCGCACCCTCCAAAGTTCAATGTCTCCTGACCTATTTAACACACTCCAGCTAATGATCAGTCCAGTAGTCCATTGAGGGAGAGGGAGACCAAGAATGATTATGCTACATCCAGTAATGATCGGTTCAATAGTCCATTGACAATCATACCAGTGGTGATTTTTCTCCTCATCAATGATCATTTTGGTGGGTGATTTGCATTAGCTGCAACTAACACTACTACCCTCATCTCCATCTCAAATTGATGATCATTGTAATGGCGACTTATTATTTGAAACTTACATTACCTGTCTCCAATCCCAGACACTAAGAGAATTATCCACAACTTAGACATATAAAAATTGTCATATTCTGTACCTATATCCGCATCAGGTACCAATGCTGCTTGTACACTGTAGTATGACAGAAACAGTCTTAGAAGAGTAACCAAAAGCAAACAGGAAAATAGTATTTCAAAAGTTTTTTTACTACCTATTAGCTTCAAGAATTCAATTGCATAGTCCTTCAAGTTTTGTCCATTTAATAAATTTTGTATTTTCAACAAGCCTACTGAATAGCTTTCTTATGCAGCTCATTCAACTAATTATAATAAAAATATCAATGTTAGACATAAAGTTATACATGAACCTTCACCTAACAACTTGAGGTTTTGTGATAGTAGGACATTGACATTAGTATTAGAGATGAGCCAAATATTCAGGAGTTCAATTGTTGCTACTTGCTGCCCCAATTCTAAATAAATATTGAATTTCAACACAATGTAAGTTGCGGGGCATGTTTAATACAGTATTTATGTAACCCATTAATGTAACTCGACCTAGGATTTGGTCCTTGACAATAACTTTTGGGGAGATGGGGTACGGGGTGGGTTAGTAATACAACCCTTAAATCCTTACCAAAGGGTCAAACAAGTTTAAAAACTGATAGTCTTATAAGAGGTAATCATTCATGTACATTAATACTCTTATTAGCCTGGAGTGCATATATGTACATCTATTTTGAAGCCAACAGAATCCCTTATTTCACTGCAATGAAGGCTGCAAAAATTTTACCTTTTGCAGTATAATATAAAAAAATGATGTTGTGAACAATTTGCTTCAGAACTTATGGTAATATAGAGTTTAATACCTCTAAAACTTGCAATGGGTCTAATGATTCTCCATGATTGTGGAGAAGCCGAACAGCAGCAGTAAACATGGGCTCCTTACCATCTTCTGGATCCAAATACATTTCAAGCAATCTGAGGACATTAAACCAAAAATAAAAGATGTTTAGAACAAATGTTGCTAAATGACTGCGGCATTCATAAATAAATGTTAAAAGGGCGAACAAGGGACAAACTGCATGTAGGCATCAGGTCTTCCAATCTCAGCACAATACTGCTCAGCAGCTTCACTGTCTTCCAGTTTCCTGGGAGCCAACATATATTAACAACCACCAAGCCTTATCCCACATATATTAATAACATTATTTAAAATAATACTTGTTAGCAATTATACAAATTAAAGGTCAATTGGTTCTTATGCATGTTTTTGTGTTATTAACAATTTCACATTAAACCCAAATTATCATAAAACTGTGTAAATCAAGTTGTCTGCCAAAATACATATGCAACAGAACCATGGTAATTGCAAAACTCTTATCTTCAGATAATCACTAGTCTGCACAAAGTATTGTAAGCTATATATCTTACCAAGTTATTGTAAATTGCATTTTAATACACACTCGAAGGATAAATATGTACTAAAAAGTTAAAATATATTTATCTTCTCACTTTTGTCTACAACAACCAATCCTTATCCTACTAGAAGAGAACAGCCAAATATAGGGATCAAATGACATCTTTGGCCTCTATCGAAAACAACCTTTTCAAGAAATCAAATTATAGCAAGGTCATTTTAATGAAAAATGATTTTAGTCTATACATGAAAATCAGGATTAGTACTTTTACTATAAGTTCATTTTCAGTTTAACTTATTTTAGAAACTTTCTCCAAGTTTCTAAGAAAACTTTTGAAAAGTACGCTATCATTTCCAGGAAATTAATCTTTCCAAAAAATGTCCTTAGTTGTAAATTTGGAGTTTGTGATCCTAGGTCCTCAATCAAGCCAACACTCTAAAAAACTCAGACTGCAAAAATGAGTTCACACTAGACAGGGAAGTAATAAAATTATACTCCAAGTACCCAAAACACACCACTTCAAGGCTTGAAACAAAATTCACACCCACAGACTTAGGGCTCAAAACTCCCCTGCTCCAAAAAATAGTGCAGTCCTAGAATGGAATCATAGTTCAAAAACATCACAACCCTGCTCTTCCTCCCGTGCAAAACCTAGGTTTGTTCTTGCCTTCCTTGGTCTTCTCAGTATGCACTCCTCTCTCAAAAAGTTATCCTGTTTCTTTGTTTGGTCAGTTCATCATCTATTCTCCTTGTTTCCATTATCTATCCCAAAAACAGTACGCAGAAGTAGCATTCATAACTATAGTTTTCTTGCTTATTCTGTTCAGTGTTGGTTGTTTCTATATTTGCTGTTAATGGATAAGTAAGATGCCAGTTCAATAGTTCTTTATTAACTCAGACACTATAATATCATATTTAAGCAAAGTCCATGGTGATATACCTTAGCTGATTAGTTATTTGAGGTATGTATATTTAAGCTAATTTATGTTGGAAAGATGCAAGCTTTAATTTTGAAGCTCTTGGCTTGTTTAAAGTTTTAGCATTTAGAACTAAATATTTGCTCATTTCTGTATGATTTTTCTTAAGAAACTTGGGCCTAACTCACTCCCAAAAGTTAGCTCATGGGAGGAGGACTGCCATAGTATTCTATCTCTATTCCTAACCAATGTGGCACATCTTAACACACTCTTTTTACTCCCAGGACTAGATATCTGGTGCATGAAATTTGCAGGACTGGACATCTGCATGGGTGATGTAACATCCTCGTTTTTGCTAAACGATTAATTTATTAATATAGTTCTAAGTTAATGTATAGTACTTGATTTTTTGGGAAAAATTGGAATAGAATTAGCATGAGATGCTTTAGACAAAATTGTTAGGTAAATTTTTAAGAAATTTTTAGTAATTTTTAATTTTAAAATTTTTAAGTTTCAAAAAGTGTCAATTTGTGTTGGTTAAAATTGTTGTATAAAGTTAAAAAAAATATTTTATTTTAAAAATAATAATAATAATAGTAAAAATTATTAAAAAATTTATATTTTATTTATAAATATTATTTGGAATATAAAAATATTTTTTTTTTGTAATCAATGAGCATTTTTGGATTTTCTGGTTAATTTTAAGTAAATTAGTTATATGCTCAAGCAGAAAATGCGTGTAAAAATTTTGGACACCAACTAAAGGATCAATAGTGTCAAAAATTATTTTATAGCTATGTTTAATATATTTCATGATTATTTTTAAATTTTGAGATTTTTATCTAATTATTTCAATTAATTAAAAAAAATTAGTGAAAATTCTAATATTATATTATTATTTTCACTATTTAAGATAAGGATTAGTCTCTTCCCACTTCTTCCTTTCACTTCCGTAAGCCCCATTTTCTTTCTTCCAAGAAGCTTTGATCCTCTTTGGTCTTAATCTCTTAAATTTCTAAGTAAGTTCATTAAATTTTTTTAATATTCCACCTATTTTCATCATTTTGAACACTATGAACCGATTAATTTTATTATTTTCTCCCTCTTTTCGAGTGCTGGAATAGTGGCATAAGGGTGAGATTTTGTCCAAAAATTTTGTTTCTAAATTATGTTTTATTTGCTTAATCCTTCTAATGTTTTATAATAAATAATTTTGGTACTTTTTGTTTTGTTAAAAATGCATTTGATGGTTCAAAATCCTTGGTCTAGAGATGCTGTCCCAAGAGTGTTATGAGGATAAATAATTGTTTTTAATCACCTTTAGGCTTATAGTATTCCATTTACATCATAGAAAACAATTGTAAGACCCGTAAGCCATTTTTGCGAAGATTAGAAAATGATTGTTTCAACTCACTAGTAGAGGGTTGGGTGATTAATGCCTCTTAACATTGATCATGATTATATGTGATTATTTGGTTAGGATCGTGATTTGAGAAGTGGTGAAAAGAGGACGTTGGTGAGAAAAATCGGTATACACTTCAAAGTAAGGGGGGACATCTATTTTCACGAGTATAATAGAAAAACGTTGGGAGATGGGTGTTTTATTCTTTGCTATGTATATATGAATTATTTGAAGGAACTTATAATTATTTCTATACTTAGTGTACAATTGTTTGATATTCCTTTTTGAAATTGATTTTATGTATGATGATGTTTCTATGATAATTGTTTGTTGAATTCAGTATAAATAATTAATTACCTAAAATACTTGAGGAATGAACTATCATTCATGTGGAGTGAGCATATAGAAGGTCTGTTGAAAGTTGAAAAGAATTGAAGAATTGCAAAATAAAAATATTTAAAAAAAAAAAACTCTTCTTTAATTTCAAGTGGTTTGATCAAAATTAATTTAATAGTTTTTATATATTTAAAATATACCTATATACATATTTAAAGAATTTAAAGGATTTTAATTCATTTTAAAGTATTATTTTAAATGGATATTTTGAAATGTGGTGATAATTGGAAAAAAGGTATTTGAGAGCCATTGAAATGAAAGGAAAGTTGTGAAATGTGGTGGTGGTGAGACTTTGTTTAAAATTAGAAGTATATTGAAATTTTCTGGCTGTTTTGCAGAGAGAAGACAATTTAGAATTATCTAAATTATAGAGAAAATTCTACCGGATTGTCGGTGAAATTTTGAAACATATGTTGTTATTTATTGAAAAAAAATGTTTAATACCTAATTAAAAGACTGAAATTAGGTTCATGCATCATAAGCATGTAATGATGATGGCTTTGGATGGAAAGTATACGAAATCTAGGGGAGACTCCAGGTTAGTCTTGGGGATAGTCGGGTGTGATTGAGCTGGACAAAGGCCAGGGCTCGCAACCCTGTGCTGTCGGTTCTCACTGCAAAACTGGACTATCCTGACAGAACCCGATAGATTTTCAGAATCAGTTGAGCTATACATTTGAAACTATCTAATGAGATGGTTATGACCAAGAATGGTTGATGACAGTGAACTCCTGATCCTTCCCAGAAAGAAAGAGAAAAAGAAAAAGAAAATGGTTTGGCCCCACATGCATGTGTCAGTATAGCAATTAATTAGGTGATGCACAGAATCATACATGGCATGTACATTGTGTGTTGAGTTGTTGCTATTTGCTATAATGATTGTAAATATCTTGACGTGTTTTCTACTGTACTTTGGTTGAAATGGGTTTGTCTCACCCTTTTAGTTGCTATGTGTGTTGTATGTGAATATGTTTAGTAAGTGAGGACACAAATGGCCCGACCACCATACCAGTTCAACGTCACGGTCAGATATGATCCTGAAGGAAGATTGGCGCACGATTGAGAGCGACAACAGTTCACCTATACTGACACTATTACCTTTTTGTTAGATAGAAATGGGCCAGGCCCACGGGCATACCCCATCCCCATTAGGGTACCCATGAGACTCACTTTTCTATTTTCTCCTGGAGTACAGTTTAGGAGACTCTATGTCCCACCTCCTGTCCCTGTATTATCGCCCCCAATATTACCCCTGAATTTCCTTAGATCTTTAGGGCCTTATGTAGCACCTGTTGTACTACCCAATATAGCAAACATACTTCTACCCAGACACATCTCTATCTCATCTACTTCAAATTCGACTTCATCTAGTTCTTCTGACTCTCTGGATTCCTCTCACTGTTCAAACACCCCTACTGCTACTGGAAAGAAGAGGACTTCTTCTCAGGCCGGACTTCCTCCTGGTTTTGACTCCTCTGAGCAGGAACCTAGTGGGAAAGGAGAGTAGGCTAGGGCCGAGTAAAGTATAACTTGTACATATATGTAGATATAATTACTAGTGGCTGAGAGAATGTATAAATAGAAATCCTTAACCGTTGTTAACTTTTGGAGGAAATGGTATTTTTGATAATCATGGGTCTAGGGAGAAAGCTTGTGAGGTCATTTTTGTTGTTGTTGTCTTTGATATCGTGACCCCACTTTATTTTGTATATAAATCAGCTATGTGTATATGTTTATATGACTGGATGACTATATATTTTGACAGATCATATGTATATATGTATTTGGATAACTGATGTAGATGGTGTATTTAGTTTCTATTAATGTGAACAGATGTAAACTCATACATGTGGCTTTCTTACTGCTTGAATTATTTTAATATTATATTTATATTGATGGCATAATAAGTGGTAAGGGTGTCACAAGTGGTCCAATAGGACTGGAATTTATGAGCAGCCCTAACATTCAAACTGGAATAAGCTCTAATACAATGTTAAGAAACTTGATCCTAACTCACTTCCAAAAGCTAGCTAATAGGAGAAAGATTATCTTAGTCCTTATAAGGAGTATTCTGTCTCTATTCCTAACCAATGTGAAACATTTTAACAGTTTTAATTTGTATTATCATACTACCAGACAATCACTTTTGTTTGCTTTATTATGGAGTTAGAATGTTGATTATGGATGCATTTCATATTACACTTGGATAATCATATATTTTAATATTATTTTTTAAATAAAGGCTCCACAAGTTTATAGACTCACTAATTCAACAACTTTGATTATTAGACAAGAGTACAAAAACAGTAAATAATAAAGAAATCATGTTAAATGGAGGCAAACAATTCTCATTACATCAACTTCATATTTGACGGTACATAAATTTTTCAGTCAAACCTCCCACATCTCAGTTCTATAACAAGTGCACAATTATATAACAAGTGAATATAAGCATGAATGTATTAAAATACACACAGATTCACAAACATTATTGACTTTTGGAAAATAAGCTTTTAATAGAGAATGGTTATGACCAGTTTATATCATCAAACATAGAAACATAATATATAACCATAAACACTGTATATCAGAATTACACAGCAGCATACGACTAGAATATAATTTAAGTGGATTTATTTGTAAGATAGTGCAATTTTGAAGCTAACTGGACACTTACAAAGCCAAAATTTGGAGGACCAGAGTCTCCTGCCCCAGTCTTCTATACAGAATAGCCTGTAATGTCAAGGAAATCCAAATTAATAAAAGAAAAAGTTCAGGAATACTAAAATTCCATTTCAGCATAAGAGAGTTCATCACCATTTTGCCACCCCTCCCAAAAGTAGTCTATGTCACAAAGAACCATAAATAGCACATTTGCCGAAGTTGAATAAACAGAGGTTAAGGTAACACAGTAAAAAGACTTAAAATTACCTTTTCTAGCCACAACTCTGATCCTTCAATCAAGTCAAGAACTTCTTCTGGATCATACAAGTCTGAAGATTGCAAAAATATCTGCAATCTTTCTTTGACAGGAGTCTTAAAGATTGAGTTCTTCAAGGTTGCCAAACTTTTTGTCTCTATATTTCCACTATCAACATTTTCAGAGATACTTTCAGATTCAAAAGCTTCAATTGCTGATTTGGCAAGTGAGAGGGCATACAATGTATGCAACTGTGTATCATTACAGTCCTGGTCTTCAATCAACCACTGGAGATACCTAAACAAAGGAACCAAGGTAAACTAAGGAATCAGAATTCCAGAATAAAATATAAATTTATATTAAAACAACAACAACCCAAGTCTTATCCTCTTAAGTGGAATCAGCTATGTGGATCAATCAACACCACTGGGCTCAACAAAAATTCTAAACCCTAAACCAAAACCCAAACTCTCACTAAAACCATAGCAACATCATTTTTTTTTTTATGTTTCTCGCATGGTAGTCAAAATCGAGATTGTACATAGAATCGGAAAGGGAATGAAAAATTGTAACTCGTAGGATCATAACACAGATTGTAAGACCCTACAAAATTGTATATATACTATAAAACAATATAAATATGAAGATGAGAGAAGCTAAATAAAGGCAGATGCCCATTAAAATAGAGCAAAGATGGAGATGAGAGACAGGAAGAAGGAAAAAGATAATTTAGGTAATGTATTCTGATGAGAAGACTATTTTACCCCTTTAAAAAACTTAAAACAGTGTCATTTTAAAGGTAAAAAAGAAAAGTCAGTTTATTTTAAAAGATAAAAAGTTTTTTCTACCCTTAAAAAACCCTAAAAGATAAACCCGTAAGTTTAGCAACTTAAATTGACAAGCAAAAACAGCCCCAACCATACAAACACCAAAAGAATCTAGAGAGAGAGCAGCAGCAGCGTAGCATCACACAACAGCAGGATGGAACAAGCTGTAGGTTGCAGAACAAAGCTTCGCAAGTTACAAAATGAAGCTTCGCAGGTTGCAGATCACAGTCGCCGGAACAAACCACAATCACTGCAGCAAAGCATAACGGGGACAGTGTAAAGTGAAACAGAATCGCAGAGAAGAGGAAAGAAGGAAGTTCTGAATAAATTGTGGGGATTTTAGCGTTTCAATAGATTTTAAGCAAATTGGGTCAAAAAACGTGGATCGCAGGTCATTGGGGTTAAAAATTGGGTTTTCTCAGCACGCTGGGGTCATTTGTGCTTACCGATTTTATGGTCCAGCACAGCAATCCTACCCGATCCTAGTGATTTGTGATTTTGAGAGTGTAGAATTAAGAAAGAGAGAGAGAGCATAGAGAGACAGATTAGTGCTAGAATTGAATGTTCTGCAATGTGTAGAGACCCTTATATTAATAAGAATACATATGTAACCCTACTGGGCCAAGTCCGTTATTATAATATTAAATAAATCCTAATCCTAATACGTCTATTATAGATATTCATAACACTCCCTCTCAAACTGGAGCATAGATATTAATCATGCCCAACTTGTTACAAATATAATTGCTACATGTTCCATTTAAAGCCTTTGTAAACACATTTGCTAGTTGGTTGCTTGTCTTAACATGAGAGATGGATATAAGTTTTTGCTAAACTTTTTTTCGAATAAAATGACAGTCTATTTTAATATGTTTCGTCCGTTCATGAAAAACTGAATTTGAGGCAATGTATATCGCTGCCTGGTTATCACACCAAAGTTGCATAGGCATGTCATTCGTCTCAAGAGCCAACATTTCTTCCTCCATAGCATGTCTCCAACCATCATGACTGAAGCCATCTGCAAGGGTCTTAGGAATAGAAAGAGAGTTTACACCAGCCATAAATGATTTAGATGTAGAGGACAAATGAGCAGACGTCATATAAGATGAAATAGTATAGGTGCAAGATCTCTTACTTTTAAGGATAGCAATAGGAAGGTCAAGATCAGACATAAGATCTGTTGACACTTGAGGAGACAATGGTAAAGGTTGAGTATCATCTTGAATATCATTAGTCACGGGAGGCACATCATCTGAAGGCTGTTTCGATTGATAAGAGTATATCCGCTCAAAGAACTTGAAACCTGTATCAATAGGAGCTAGAGGTGCAACAGGATGGGTAGATTGGATAAGAGTATAAGTCAAGAAAGGTTCATCTACCTCATTCATGGACTCAAAAGATGAGGACTTAAAGAATGGAAGACTTTCAAACATTAAAGGAAATAAGATAACGACCAAGATCAGGAGAAAAACAACAGTAACCTTTTTGGGACCGAAAATAGCTCAAAAGCACACATTTTAGGGACTTTGGATCAAGTTTAGTTACCTGCAGACGAACATCAAACACAAAACAAGTGCAGTAAAAACTTTAAGAGGTAAGAAAATAAAAAAGAGATTGTAATAGGAAAAGTATAGAGTAGGGAATCTCACCATGTAACACACATGATGGCATGAGATTAATTACATATGCAGCAGTAAGAACAGCATCAACCCAAAAAAGTTTAGGAACTTTCATTTCAAACAATAAAGCACAGGCTACCTCCATAAGATGATGATTTTTATGTTCAGCTACTCCATTTTGTTGTGAGGTAACAATACAAGAGGACTGATGAAATATGCCATGTCTATACATAAAATTAGTGAAGGATGCAGAAAAATATTCTTTAGCATTATCACTTCTAAGAATGCGTACACAAGGACAATTTCCTAAGAACTCCTAAAGATGGATGACCTAGACAGCAATGAAGTTGGACAGGAGACACTTTTTCATTCCTAGAAGCAATAAAAGCTTGCGAAAGTCCTTCTTCTTCCAATAGATACAGCCCATTAGATACCCTACCTCTACAAATAATCCTCTATGTCACCAAATCCTGAAAAACACAAGAATTAGAAAAAAATGTTACTGAGCAATTTAATGATGAAGTGATTTGGCTAATGGACAACAAATTTAAGGGGAACTGAGGCAAATATGAAACAAAAGATAAAGATAAAGTTGAAACTAGGGTGGTACACCGGCTTCTCTTAATACGGACACTAAAACCATCAACGAGTGTTACAGAAGAATGAGAACTAGGTAGACAAAAAAAGGAAAGGATATTTGAATCCCCAGTCATATGATCAGTAGACCAAAATCAATGACCCAACGCCTAGAAGAAGAGGAAAGACATGCAATAGGATTACTTTTTTAGACAAAAGTGGTTGTAGACGGCTGTTGAGAAATCTAAAACTGAGTATATTGAATAAATTCCTCATCACTCATACGCATAGTACATCCTTCTTTCTCCTGAGTAGCTATATCAAGCTGATACACTAAGTTATCAAAGCAAGAATTACCTTGTGAGTGAAAAAAACAATTGATTCTGTGGAGAATGAGTGCACTTATTCTGATAATGGTTAAATTTGCCACAGTTGTAGCACTGTACAATACCACAACCTCCACTACGCCCACGACCACCACTGCAACCACCACGGTGACCGTATTGGACTACCAAGGCAGAGTGATCAGGAGACTCATTTTCTGTAGTGCTCTTAAGTTCCTCAAAGAAAGACTGCACAACTTTGGAGAAGACATCAGTAAGATTATCAACCTGCTTACTTGACAGAATCTGAGACCGAACTACCTTATATTCTGAATCAAGTCTAGAGAGCCAACTCAAAGCCATGAGTTTTTTTTGTTGCGCTATCATCTCGTCAATGGTTTTGCAGGCTAAAAGAGATTGTATCTCCTCAATATGCTTCTTAAACTCCAAAAAATAGTCCATTAGCTTTCACTTATTTTGTTTGGGTTGATAAATTTCCTACGAGAACATACAACCAAGTGCGGCATTTCCTTGCAAGAAGTCCCACAACTCCTTCACGGTTTTGTAATGGGTAATAATCACTTGTATTCGCCTACCAACAGAGTTTACTAGCAAAGGATCTTTGTGTCACATATCGTCCATGTGACAACATCCTTAGGATTGATAGGTGCTGTTTCAGTCAAATGATTATCCGTTCCCACTCCATCCAGGCTAATCTCAACCAAATACTTCCACTCCATATAGTTTGCACCATCTCCATCTAGCTTAACATGATAAGTTTGGATAGAGATACAATCTCCGTAACAGCCCCCTTGTGCTACGCATCCTGCACATCCTGGCTGTCACGTTTAGACATTGTATATCCACAAACAGTGATAGAATTGCCTGAGTTTCGTCTCAATGGCTAGAAAGAAATGCCGCACTCAAACTGTAAACGTCGAATTACTACACATTCTGGTCACCGGAAAAAATTTTCAGCCCCACAGCAGCCATAGTTGGCCTTTTCTGAAGCTGTTTTTTCTTTTTTTTTTTTTCAGCGGTGGCGACATTGGTGTCAGCAGCGGCGGTGGCAACGAAGGAGGAACCCTAGAAGGCTCTTGATACCATGTAGAATTAAGAGAGAGACAGATTAGTGTGCTGAAATTGGATGCTCTACAATGTGTAGAGACCCTTATATTTATAAGGATACATATATAACCCTATAGGGCCAAGTCCGTTATTATAATACTAACATAAACCCTAATCCTAGTACGTGTATTATCGCTATTCATAACAGAGGGCAAACTAGCACGAAGAGAGAGTTGGGAATCGTAAAATCGTGTCATTTTACGAGCCAACACGCGATTTTGACTACTATGGTTTCTCGTATGCCCAAAGAAAAAATTGTATGAAGTGGAAAATAGTCAAGAAAATATTAGGGCACTTAAGTTCCCTGAAATTACTGGAATGAATTAAATAATAAACACCAATCCCTCCATTAAAGAATATCCATATGCATAGCTCATCAAATCAAATCAAATCACCAGCACAATTTCGCAAGGTATACTTCACAATTTACTCCACACAAGAACTGTGCATTATAGAATCAGAATATTCCAGAATTAGATCTAACAATTATTCAAATAAGTTCCAAATCTTCAAATGTCAGCGCAGTGCACAGCATCTAAGATTGCAGCCAATAAGCTACTAGAAAATATAAAAAAGGACATGAATTAATTTAGAGTGGCCTATACAGATGAAAATACCAGGTTTCAAAGGTAGATCCAGTACTTCTAATTTTCTACAAACTAAAAGACTGGACATTAGAGAAAATTTTGGGATTTATTAAAAATGAAGGACAACCTTGAGGGTATGCAGAAAAACACAAATGTGTTTCAACACTAACTGAACACTACCTGAAAAAATTATGTGTCCAAAGTATGTTTTATAAATAACCATAACCCCTAACAAATTCATTCTGTCCAATGGGCTTAACACTGGAGAGAAGGACCAAATAAGATCTTTTATTGTATTATTCAGGAGCCTGATGATGGCAATGCAATTGTGCTGCATTAAAAACTCATTGTGGTTGGAAGAGTCTACAACAGAAAGGCAATAATTGGCTCACAAAGTTGTTTAACAAGATTGTGAGGTCTAAAAAATGGCAGACAAGTGCAGGAAAAGTCCTTATTTGCAGGAAAATTGGAGAATTATTGCAATAGTTTGCTGAGTAATTCGAGTGACCCAGCTCACTCCCAAGTTTCTCAATTAAAATGTTGGTTACCCCCCTTCAGCCCCTATCATCCTCTATTTATTCTTCTAGAAACTGACTAATCTCTGCCACTCCTAAATATCCTACTAAGTACTAACTGCTGTGGGGGTTACCTATCAGAACAACTATCTATAGAATAGAAGTACCATGTAACACTTTCTAACACTAATCAACAACTGCTACATTCAATAGATGCCCAGCAAAAACATAAAAGGAATGAAAAAGAGACAAAAAAAAGAATTAACAGTGTAATTAAATCCTTCAGATCAATGACCCTAAACATCCTCACCAAAATTCCCACACATAGCATCATCAATTTGAGAGTATACTGCCAACAGTAACACAATGGCTTACCTCTGTAAAATGTCTACCTTCTGGGGATCAATAGCAGCAACAACTTCATCTGCAGTAAGAAAGAAAAACAACAATCACTAGTTATTTCAGAAATAAAAACCTTAACAGAAACAAAAACACGAGTGAATAACTACATATTTGAGAACCCTTAGAGAGTACATTTGGCAATCTATGATAATATTCACCAAACCATACCCAAACTAGTCAAAATTTAATACCAAATTCAAAATTTACATTTCTTAATATCAAGGATCCAAAGCATAATAATTATCCAAATTATGAGTATATGATGCTTAAAGAATCAAGTCGAACCAGGAGAAAGCTGGATCTCTCGTTTGTCTGAAGTTAAAACTTCAACTGCAAGAACCTGGCTGATATCTGCAATCTGAAATGAAAAGGTTCAAACCTAATTATGAAGTTAAAAACATTATACTTGCATTAACAAAAAACCTCAATATCATTCATACCCATCCTAGATGTTGTAGAATCAAATCTTGGTCAGATGATTCCTCAAGAATCTTTGAAGCTTCAGCTGCAGCAATTGCCCTGCCAGAAATAAGGTTTTCCCCATTATCCTGAGTGCTATTATCCAAAGCAGGGTCTTTCCAGAGGCCAGATGAATAATTTCTTGCCAGGATGCGCCAAATATGTACAGCTTTTGAGCTCATTCCTTTACTGGCACATAGGAAGGCAAGGGTCCGTAGGTGCCCTGATTCTTCTAACATCTGTTCCAATTCCTCCTGAAAAAGAGATGTATTTCACAAGGTCATATTTCAGGCAACCCAAGGCAATTACCACTATGTCATGCAATCTATGTTTCCCTTTAAAGGGCAGCATGGATGTAGAAAAGGGAATCCTCTTTTCTTTTCCCGCTCAACACCTGGTTGATAAGTAATTTGGGTTTCTAATGTTTATTTTGCCTTTGATACTATTCTTTATTTGGAGACCTTTAAGATGGCCATACCAGGAAGAAGAAAAAAAAATTTCTCAAATCTGCTTAGAAATAATACATATAACTCCATTCGCTACATACTTTTTGCAGTGCTAATTGTGAAATGTATTCAAATCACTTAGATCAAATGATTAAAAATACCTAACAATTAGAATAATGTGTAGATCATGTATACCATGTTCAATGCATTTAGCTTTCATAGGAATTAGTATTTAAGTTAAGAATTACCACACCGATTTACTCTTTGCATAGATGATAGTCCCCACTTAGTCTATTAAGAGTCTATATGTATAGATTTATGCAAAACCTAAGTGATGAACAATCAAAGAATTTACTTATGCTTTGTTTGAATGATGAGATGAAATAGAGAGGAAAGAAATAAGGTGATAAATAGAGTAGAAATACAGTGAAAATGATATGTTGTTTGGATGAGTATAAATATAAAAGAAAGAAGTGAAAAAAATTCTCTTTACTTGTTGGATGAGTAAAAATGGAAGTATAAAGAAATAAATAAATTATATTAAAAAATTGTATATAATAATCATAAAATTTTATTTTTAATATTTTTATATTATACAAAATATTATTAAATATTAAATAAAAAACCACCTACCGCCCCTACAAATTCCCCTCTGCCCCTCCCCAATTTTGTCAAAATTGTGGCAAAGATGCAGGGAAGTTTTATTATGGGTCCCATTAATATACAGTTTCTTTCCTTCCTGTAAAAGACAAGTGTAACAAACTAATGAAAAAGTTTAATTCACTCTCAAAATCGCTGCTTAGGTTTTCTTTCCTTGCATTTTCTATGCAAACAAAACAGCATTAAGCAATTCCATCCCACTAAATTCAACAATAACATCCAGAGACTTATATAAACACAAAAACATAATGATTTACACTTGTGAAAACCACAACAATAATCTGCACATACCACTACACACCAGTTTGTAGAAGATGCTAGCCTTTCCATGTCCACAACACAATTTAGAGCTCTATAGAGATACATTAATAGTGTGTCAACTCCCTCCCTGACTGATTCCATTAAGTCTTTTTCTCGACAGGCCTCCAAATACCTGTATAAAATATTCATCAAAAAAGGTAGTCTTGAAAACAAGTTGAAGACCATAGCTACAAATATAAGAGTGCTTCCACAAAAATCAATTTTTAAAGCAACTATGACATGGGATTGAAACCCAAAATATTTCAACTATATTCCTGTCTTCCTCTACCCATTCCTCATGATCTGCCTGAAAGTCCCAAGTACAGATGATTAGGAGTTTTTATTGGTATCTGTATGACATTGTCAAAGCCAACAGGAATACAATCGCCCAAAAATTGAAATAAATAACAAAAATGCATTCAGACCTACTAATGTTCTTGATTGCTGACGCCAACAAATCAGCTCGTTTTGGTGGATTGAGAAAAAGATCATTATCTACTACTGTTTCTACCCCTGCCTTCCTCAAGAAAGAAGCTCTTTGGATTGTCATCAAACCATCATCTACTACATCTTCAAGAGGGGCTGGTGGAGGATGCAAACCCCAATACCGATTCCTAGGAACCTACAAAAGCCAGTTTGAACCTCTGTACCACATTCATACAGCACAAACTTTAAACATTTGAATAATTAATACAGATTAAGGACAAGTACAACATTTCACAATATAGCACAAGACCTAAGTGAAAAATTACCAGTTAATTCAACATTCATAGTTGAAATTTATCATACACATTAAAGAGCCCACGGTATTAAAAAGTGAATGAACTTCAACTATTATGTCCTAGTAGGCTAAACTAAAAACACTCCATCATGCATCAAGCCAGATCACCATATACCAACTTGCATGTGGATATTTTGCCAAAACAACTACATATAATTATGCATAATATGTTTATCAGTGAAGAAAGCATAAAAATAATATATATCAGCGTCACACAAACTGAATAGATTATTCAAATACTATGAATGAGAAACACAAATTTATTCATTAATAGTCGCTCATGACACTGAAATTTTCAAACAGGTTGTTGCACAAGACTGCATCCAAAGCTTGTATTCTAGCCTAAAATCAGTAAAAATAGAAAACTAAGCATTTAGGTATTATATGTCTAGTCAGACATATCATTAAGCTTATTTGAAAATTTGATCTAGATATGAACACTAAATTATGAGAAGTAAGAATCACAAAGAAGATTTATTTCTATAGGATATAATATTATCTAGATAGTAGAGATACAGTATTTATAAGATAAAAATGAAGAAATCCAAAATTAAAAGTTAACTTTAATCATAAAGTTACTTCCTTCACAACATGTGCCTCTTAGATTTGAGTCATGAAAGTTTTCATCAGAAAATCAATCAAACCTAATCCTACAATAAATGAATAGAAAAAAAGGCTTCATAAGTTCAAAACTGAACGACAGTGACAAACTTTTTTTTTATTCTTTTGGAAATCTCACCCTCGTTATTGCATTTTGTTTCCCATTGTTTAAAAAACAATCTCATCATCAAAAACAAGAAACTCAGAACAAACCAGCATACAATTTTGAAATAAAAATTATGGCAGTAATATAAAATTGAAGACAAGAATAAAAGTACCAGTAAGGACCAGCGATTCGGATCTTGCATTATAAAAGGGAATACTTCAGAAGGTTGCATCGTCTCAGAGAGCAAGAAGTGGTCCACTGCTTCTTCAAAATGCAAGTCAAAAAGCAGGAGGAATCCCACCTGAGCATGAACAAACGAGAGCAACTCTTTCGACATTTCACCTTCAGACTCAAGCTCCTCCACCAAGGATATGGCTCCCCTATATTTCTTCTTCCTCAGAAGGTCTTTAATTTGTTCTACAGAAGGTAATTTCTGATAGCACACAACCTAGTATATGTACAAAAAAAAAGACTTTTGAAATTCTTCAATGAGCTAGCCTAGTACTATGAGAACATATAGGTCACTATCAAAATGAACCATTTGCTTGCAGTTTACTAAACAATTAAAAATTGGAATAATTGGCATAAATCAAGTAACAAGCTAGGACTGAAGTCAGACTGCAGAAATATCAAGTATAAGAGCAAGGTTGTCAAAATCATGTAACTATACTTCTTGGATCATTTCTAGCCACTATTTATCCTGTCCACACCTAAGATCACAAGGTGGTAAGTTCAGAGCAAGATTTCAAGGATTACTCATATACTTGCAGGATCAGCAAAATTTTTTGAGTTTTGAAATCTGTGAACTCGTGGAACCTAGAAGAAAAAACACATATTGTAGGTCTTCCTTTTTTACTAAGATAATCATGGCAGTAAAAACACCGATTTGAATCGTAAAAAATGGATTTTACGATTTTAGAAGCCTTACCGATTTAAATCATGGGTAAAGTCATGGCCGAGCAAAATCACTGTAAAATCCCGATTTCAATCATAAAATCCCTCAAATTGTGAGATTTCACAATTTCACTTTGATTCTGAAAATTCCTCAAAAAGCCTCTTTTGTTGAACCTAATGTAGTTAATGCCTCTTTCATATCTCTTTTTGATTGAACCCATTTTGCTCTAGCAGCTTTGAAACCTAACACTGTTGTCAACTTTCAACAGTTCTCCCAATGTGTGCGACTTGGTCTGCAACTAAACCCAGCAGTGTGCTACTGCTCAGAGTTTAAGTCTAGTGCTGCTGTTCTTGCATCGTTTCTTTTCCGCTCTATTTTTTACTTTGCTGATGCACGACATTCTCATGGAATATGGATTATGATTTATGAGTGCTACTTTAAGTGCTTTTACTTATATAAAGGTTTTCTTCCTAATTTATGCTACTTTATATGCATAATATGAATTTTGCTGGGTGACAATTTCATTTTATATGTTCTAATAATATATATATTTTCCACTGTGCACCACTTTAAGGTGGTGCACTGGTGCATTATAGTGTTAGATTTATTATTGAAGTAATGAGAGGTATCATCTGTCTTTATTATTAAAGTGTTAGATTTAAAGTAAGTTCCCCTCATTATTACCATTTTAAGCATGCTAGGTTTCATTTTAAATTTCCCAATATAAGAAATGTTATTTTGTTACTTTTCCAATAACTGATGCCATTAGAAGATCACCGCAAAAACTCAATAGTCAAGCCTTCACTGACCTATCTACAAACTATACAATTCTCTATGGGTAATGATGGAACTTTTAGTTATCATTTTTTCTTTGGGTGTGACAGCATATGTAAAATACAAATCCATTGTTATCATGAACTGGCACCTACTCAGTTTACCTCAACAATACATTAATCCATGGGCCTAATAAAACATTTACCATGAAATCAAACAACTGGCTAAGCCAAACATTCAAGCTTCATCAAAGGCTACATCTCGAATGATTATCAGTGTCATCAGATACAAGCAAAAACATACCTTGGTAGCAGTTGCAACAGCAACAAGCTTCCCACCCCTATCTTCCTCGCTGGCAACAACACAACGCCCAACCCCTTCCCCGCCAAACGGCAACACCTGAACACAGCTCCCACACTTCTTATGATACAACTCAATCCTCCCATCACTCACAACAACCACATAGGAATCAATTTCTCCAACAGAATCCAAACCGTGCCGAAACACCAGACTCCCCCCCACCGGCTGCCCGTGTGCATCAACAATAACTCCCACATTGTCCACCAACAACAACACCTTCCACTCCTTGTGCAACAACTTCAACCGCGGCGGCCGCGACACATCCGGCAACGAGAAGATAACACTACTCTGTCCAGTAACACATGAAATCAAGCTATAACCATTCACAGTGCCAACAATAATAGAATCATTAAGCCACACCATGGTACTAATAACTCCATCAACACACTGAATCTCTTTCAAAACCACCAAACTGCCACTAACATCTTTCTCACTTTTTCCATTTCTATTCCCCAAAACAAGCTCTGCAAGAATCAACCTTTTTCCAACAACAACAGCGAAAAAACAACTACCACCCTCACTTTGCGCTTCACCCTCCTTAATTCTCAAACCGTTCGCCCTAACCCCACCCAATTTCTGCAAAAACCGATGTCCCGAACCCGGACTTAAACCCGAACCTGAACTCTCAGACTCGCTGTTCCTCAACCTCCTCCTCGTTACCAATGAAACGCCCTTCAAGAAACTCAATTTCGTGGCATGATTTGAGAGCTCGGAATCCACTAAGAACAAAGCACCATCGGAGAGCAAAAGCACTTTCCCGAACTCTTCGAGAACCGAAATGGACTCTACGCCGGTGTCGCTCACCAAAACGCTGCGCAGGAATGAGAGCTTCCGTAAAACGACGTCGTTTTGGACTGTGGTGTCGTTTCCGTCGGCGGAGAGGGAAAAGAGGGTTCCGGAGTGGGTGCCGACGTAGATAACGGGTTGGTGTCGTTTTGGATTGGAGAGCGTGGCTATTGCAAGGGATCGAATGGAACTGGCGCGTGAGTGTGTGGTGAGGTCAAATTGTGAATGCGGCTCTAGCACGATCCGGTTCATGCCGTTTTCAACTTTGGCCATTGTACGACGATAACTTAAAATTTGAAAAAGCGTGTGAGTTTATAGATCAAAACGACGAAGCCATTAGATTCAGGCTTTGTTGCCTCTCTGCACTAGCACTCTGCTCCACTGTGACTTTGGGAGAAGGAGAACAGAGTGCAACCACCTAAATGGAGAAAGATGCTTTTTCTGTTTTATTCTCACATTTTTATTTTCTGTATCTCAGAATATAATCCTCAAATGTAATAGTAAGTTTTTATTATCTTATTTTTATATTCACAAATCATTTTTCTTATACCATTCACGGAAAATTTTAATAATATTTTTTATTAGGATAAATTTATATGTAATAAAATTATAATAAAAAATAATTCAAAGCATTAGTAACTATTGAATTTGTATTTAAAACTCTTGGTAGCCATAGAAGGTACAATACACAAAGATGAGGCTTTTTAAAAATAAATTATGAATTAAAAAAAAGATAATTTTTATAAACATAAAATAGTTATTTGAAAAAATAAAAATTTATATAACGTAATAAAAAAATTAAGTAATATTTTTAATTTTTAAAATTTAGAATAAAATTAATAAAAATATTGATAAAAAGTTATTATAATAAAAAATACAATTCACACCTTATTTTTAGTCAATTTTAATTTAAAAATATACACATAGAAAATTATAAAAAAATAATGTCAATTTTTAAATAGTATATTCTCATTTATAATATAAATACTAATTAAAAAAATTATAATTTAAAAATGAAATACATATAAATCTTAAAACACAATTAACAATTATATAAAATTGAGTGAATACGTTTTAAAAATTTAGTAAACATAATAATATTTTAATCAATTAAAAAAAAGTTCAAAAAACCTAATAATCTATGTTACCAAAATAATTATAATAAATACACTTGATATTACATCCTTGATATTAACCGTATCATTAATAAGTTTTAAAGAAACAAAATAATAATAAACAAATTATGATAAATATAAGAAATAATATCATTAATAAAATAATAAAAAATAAAATATAAACAATATATATATATATAAAGAGAAAGAATCTTTTTACACCGGTGCAAGTCTAAAAACTCTTTCACTCAATTTTAACGTTTCATTTAACTTAAATCTAATCACTAGTTATTAGATTTAAGTTAAATAAAAGACTTAAATTTAATAAAATCTTACCTTTTATATATATATATATAAAGTCATGACAAGAAAAACCTAATAACTGACAACACCACCGCAACTTATAAAAATGAAAGTGTTCAAATAAAGTCTAATGGCCTTTACACTGCAAATTATTAAAAACATTCAAAGTAATCTTATATAATGGAAAAAATGAAAAGATAACTTAAAATATTGACAAAAATACCTATTATATATCATGGAACTTCAAACCGAAGAACACTCTTTCAATTCATTGGTTTTAAAAAAAAAAATCAGATTAAATATATTTTTTAAGGCAAATTAGACCTCCAAATATAATTTGCTAGGTCAATTTTTTAATTTTTTTTTATTAAATAATTCTGATAGCAATTTCATTAAAAAAAATTATTTTTAATTGCTGAGTTATTGGGATTATGGTCGTAACATTGTATCAAAACCATTTAGCCGGATATTTGATAATTATTGGATGGTTGAAAACGTACATATTATTCCAATTCCCAACTACTATTCACAAACCTAAGCTTCTCCCAAGTCCCACCCACCATTCATGAACCTAATGTTTGACCAAAGTCTCATCTTCATGAAGTCAAAACTCACTCTTCTTTTTTTTTTTAATCAACACACAAATGATTCAAAACTTGCAATAGTGTGTCTTCCAATAGCATAACCACACTCCTCAGCCTCCCGTGGTGTTGAATCAGACATGAAATTCCCATATTTTGTGTACTCAAATAAAAATAATGATGCATTTCCCACATATGTTTAATTAAACTTTAAATATATCCCTCAATACCTATTAACTTATTAAAATATTTTTTTAAGTATTATTCATTAAAAAATATAGTTTAGCAAATTTAAGTTATTTTTAATTTACTTTAAGTCACAAATTTTAAAACATTGAACATTAACTAAATGTTCACCCACATTAAAATTTGACCAAAATATTAATAAAAGGAGTGGTTTGACCATCGAAATAGCTCAATGTTGTTCATTTGACAACTTATTTAAGGATACGTGTCTCAATCAAATATTAGTTAAAATAATGGTTTGACTATAAAAGTTATTAAGTGTTAACCACTTAGCATCTTATCTAAAGATAAACGATAGTTAAGGACTTTTATTTAAAAACAAATATCAACAAATAGTCAAACTAATGTCTCAAAACGACATAAAAAAACTAGTTGAAATAGTCATAACACATAAATTATGATCATTGTTAAAGTTAGCTAAGCTTGAACTAAGGGCGTTGACTAGTCTACTGAAGAAAATTAAGCACAAGCATGCGAAGATGATGACTTCAAGTAAACTCATGTACTCTAAGGTACATCTAATTGGTCGAATGAACCTACCCTTCAAGAAGTAGTTGGCAGCAATTATCACCATGTGAACAACCCATAATATTGGTTTAATAGGTTTTTGTGGTTACCCAACGTAAGGACTAGATTATAGGAGTAGCCTACATTAGGAGCATGTTTTTACATATTGCAATAGTTATTTTGTAGTTATTTTTTCATTCTTATAATTTATAAATATAACTTTAGATTCTTGTTTGAGGGATGCTACTTTAGTAAGGGAAAGTTACTAGGCAAAACAGAGAGGAAAAAAAAATAATTTAGAAAGATCAAAAAGAGAAAAGAGAGAAATTGAAGGAAATATTAAATATATACATTAAGGAAGAGAACATAGATGAAGATACATCAAACATCACATACGAACACAATTTATACACTTCTAAGCAAACATCCAACATCCCTAACATGATCACCTTTGGCAACATTATGGGAAACATCAAGTAAGGATTGTAACACCTTCAATTATTTGTGGCCCTTGTATGAAAAAAATAGGAGTTTTGGTGCAAGGTATCTCGCTAGAGCGAGAAAAAGCATCTAAAATCAGACATTCTGATACTCTCTTGTTGTAGTGAGGATTCTCTCGCTACAGCGAAGAGCTTTCGCTGTAATTAGAATGACAGACAACAAAGAAAAATTCTGATTGGTTTTTTGCCGCAACGAGAGTAAGGCTTGTTGTAGCGAGATTTAGTTCGCTATAGCAAGAATATAGTGAATTAAAAGGTATTTAAGGGCCTTCAACCTAGAAAACTTGTATTACAATCCAAAATCTCAACTTCCCCTCTGTTTTCTCTAATCTCTCACCCTTTCTTCTTAGAAATCCTCCTCTAAATTTCAATCTTCCTTCAAATCTGGGCTTGGGAGCTCAATCATTCAGATCCAAATAAGTTTCTTAGAGCTTGATTCTCCAACTCCATTCTTATTTCTCAGTTTTATTCGATCTAAAGTTGTATGTTTACAATACTCAAGGGAACCTTAACCTTCAAGGCGATATCCTCTCTCGGAATGTCGTACCTCTTCCTTAGATCTCTAGGAAAACTCGATCTGAGAGACCCATTTTCAAGTAAAGGAAGTTAATTCCAAACCCTAAGTCTTATTTATGTAGTTTAACATAGAAAACTCAACTACTTGATTCTAAGTAGCAAAACTGTAAGGTTTTTTTTTTTCATAAAATCATGGTGTAGAAAACAAAATTCCTATGTGAAAATTCCCTTTTGAACCCTAACTTTGGTATTTCGTTTTGGATAATAGAACCCCAATGATTCTCTAAATTGTATTACTAAAAATTAAATTTTGGGATGAAGAACCAGTAATTTAATCCAAAGATCATTTAGATAAAATTTTATAGTGAAAAGATAAGCAACTAAGCTTCTGAGAAATTTTTAAGATTTTACTATTATTTATGTATGAACAAGTAATATTGAACTTTAGGATAGGCGAACTTATTAATGCTGAGAAAGTGTGTATGTTGGATTGTACAATTGAGCTGAGTCTAGAGGTGTCCGATCTTTGGCACATTGTATTGATCTGTATGGTGTGAAATTGTTTGAGGACCTTCTGTGTTAGATGGATATGATACTATAAATATGAATGCTTGTTGAAGACTGATGCATGTTGGAATAGGTGAAATTATATTGTTAATGAAAAATGTTATACTATTCTCAAATGAAGAAAGAGTTTTTATGTATAAAAGTAAATGATATGACATGATGAAGGAATTATGAGAAATGTGATCGTAATATATGATTCAGATAAATTGATGGATGTTATTAGGATACAGGTGTTGTGGTACATCGAAAGGTATACTCATAATACATGTATTGTAATACATTAAGTTATATGATCAAGACTCACATATTATGACATGTTGATTTATGAGAAGGACATAGAGAAGAATGAGAATGTAATAAAAAATGTTGAGAAAGAGAAAGAGAAAAAGAAATAGAATAAGTATAAATAGCCACAGAGATACACTGGGGGGAAATGGAATAAGTATCTAAGCTATAAAGTCCTCAAGGGATCCCACGGGCACTAGATATGAAAGTGTGATGAATATGAAGTAGTATAGAAAGTGTATGATTATAATATATGCATTGTAATATATCAGTTAATGTTATTATGATATATGTAGGGTAATACATCAACAGGTGTGATTAGGACACATATATTGTGACATATTAATTGATGTGATATAATACATGTATCATGATATTCATATTAGTGTGAAACTACATGTCATACGTATTTACAAAGATGATTGAGTAGTTGTTATATATGTGTTCCACTGTGATAATGATTTATTATTAATCCAATATATATATGAGATAATATTTTCAATATTATATTTGTATGTATATACACTTATCTTCTATCCAATAAGAGATTTAGTGGGGCGAGAGATACTTACCTTTACTAATATTTTCAAGTAATGAAAGTGAAGAAATAAAGATGATTGATCTGTTTTAGGATCATAGTCTAGTGAGATTGGAAGAAAGATTGCTATCTAGGAACTAGAATATCTTGAGAAATTGTAGTATTTTTACTTATAGTATATTTTATGTTGATCAAGTTTTGTAAATATTTTTAATTGACAGATTTTAGAATTTATAATACTTGGATAAATTTTGTTGTAATGAATAATTTGGAAATGTTCTTAGTAGTATTCTAAA